CTTCTCCTCTCTGTCAACGCTCTCTGGTTTCATTTTAAAGAGTCGATCATCAGATATTGTCCAAGATTAACCTTCAGGGTGGATATAGCTCGCTAACAGCCTCGCACCGATGACCTAATTGATGTCATCATTTACCCAGAATGCTTTGTGTTTAAATAAAATGGCCCCGCCTGTGTAATATATTTTTTAACTTTCAGTTTAAAAATGATAAAAACTAAACATCCTACAATATTTTTACTATATTTTGTTTGCAGTTAAAATATATGTTTATCAAATAAAGTCTAATGTTACAACTAATCGGGGATCCCTTTAACATTTCAGTGGTGAGAAACTTTTTTGCAATGTGTTAATCAATGTTATCTTCCCAAAAATACATTAATATTTATTACAAACAATTGATGTCACAGGTACTTTCAAATATTCTCTGTCCATCTCTTTATAATTTCACATGCAGGAGTTTTCTCTCTCTTAATCATATACTGTATCTTGTCTCTCTTTCTTCATTTCCTGTTTCAGTTGACAAGACCCCTCCAGAGACCAAACCCAATAAGCCTCCCCCACCAATGCCCCCAGCCAAGAAGCCAGTCCCCACTCCACCCAAAAAGCCAGAGAAGCTTCTTAGTCACACACAAAGTTTCAAGTAAGTTTGTTTTTTCCACTATTCAAACGGTTCAAATCATAACTGCAACAAGAAATAAACGGCATGTCTAAAAATTATTTGAACATATAATAGTGTAATTAAAATAGGAAGAAATATAGGTATTTTTATCATTATTTTATTTCTTAAGCTTGTTTTTGCAGTTATGTTTTTGTATCATACAGCGTTTTGCAGTTTTCTGGCTAATCCCTGATCTTTAAAAAGTCTGACCTGCCGATTCTGATTTTTTTAAATAGCTGACAGTCAGATGTTATAAGGTCACAATCTACCTTTTAATATTACAATTTAGTTTTATTGAAAAACACTGAACAATATCCTTGAAACAATACAAACTTGTTTTAACTGGACATTAGTGCCCACAGCAGAGTTAAGATAAGATAATATAAGATAAGATATGAGATAAGACAAGACAAGATAAGATAAGATAAGATAAGATAAGATAAGATAAATCTTTATTGTTATTGTACAGAGCACAATGAAATTGCAGTTCAGAACACTCATTCAGAAGAAGACCGAACATAACAAACATAGGAGAACAGGTGCTTTAGGTCATGCAGCCACAGACGCTGCACAGAGCAAGGATCATCTTCATGAAAACATCATGAGGAGGCGCAAGGCTTAAAATAAAACCTAAAAACCACAGACAGATGAGGACAAAAACAAACATTATATCAACAATGTGACACACTATGGTGTTTATAAAAAAACCTCTGCATAGAGCACATTTACAGTGGTTTGCAAAAGTATTCATACCCCTTGAACTTTTCCATATTTTGTCACATTACAACCACAAACATAAATATATTTCACTGGAATTTAATG